CTTTAGGCTAGTGAGAGTGCCTATCATTAGGCACCGTCGAAGGACATACAGCTCACAACGATGGGGATAACCGATCCAAGGACATACAACTCACAATGAGGGTTACATGGTTCACACGCATACATTGATCACGCCATTCAACAAATGTAAATAATTTATGGCATAGACATTTTTAAATAAAACCCATCTGGATTTCGGATTGGAAACAACTCAACAAGTAATGGACGTAGGTCGAGGCTTGACTCCTCACACACCTACATTAAGTCAAGATTCTATAATCAACATCTACCTTGACTTAAACGGAAAAACACGCATCAGACTTAGTCGAACTTGATTTGACTAAGTTGTGCGTGAAGTCCTGTGGACGTTGGAACACATAGACTCAACACTTATACTCAACCAGAACACGTATGGGAGTTCAAATAATTCCAACAAAGGGTTGACCAAGTCAAACAAACAAGGAACAACATGCGAGCCAGTTTACAATTTTTAACACAAAACTATATTTTGAAATACTAGCCGATATGCATAAAAATTCTCTCTTTGAGAGCGGGCGATTATCTCTTTGGGATGGGGAGATTATCTCTTTGAGATTTTTATTTCCTTGGGTGAGGATTGTCTAGGTTTAGGGGTTGTGTGTGTTGCTGTGTAAATCACGGGTTTTCGATTTGGGGGAGTTAGGGTTTTTTTGTTTCAGAAGTTATGGAAGCGTGTACGGGGGAAGGGTTAGGAGATGAGGTCTTGTCAAAGATGCAGAAGTTCTCATTATCGGATAAAGAAGCTGGTGACATTGAAATCAGGGTAGATGATATCAAGTCTAGCGAGGAAGAGTGTGGCCGGAGTTTATTTGGGAAAGTTGTGGGGGACCGAAGGGCGGGACTCCTGGGAATCAAGCGAGCAATGGGTGCAATCTGGAGAATTCAACAGACATTGGAAGTGAAGGAACTCAGTGTAAATTTTTTCCAGTTCATATTCAGTTCTCTTGAAGATAAGAACAAAGTTGCGGCAGGTCACAACTGGTTATTTGAGAACAAGTATCTCATACTTCAGGAGTGGATGCCAGGACTAACAAAGAACCATGTTTGCTTTGAGGAATTGAATATCTGGGTCCAAGTCTATAATGTGCCTCTCAACTGGATGTGTACAGAGGTAGGAATGAAAATTGGTGGAGTTTTCAAGAATGTCAGAAATGTGACTATATGCAAATCGGGTGGTGACATGGGCAGTTACCTTAAACTTCTGGTCATCCTTAATCTAAAAGAGCCGGTGCCTCGATGTACAAATGTGAAGCTTCGGGATCAAAGGGTGAGGGTAGTGTTCAAGTATGAAAAGTTGGTAAACTTGTGCTACTACTGTGGCAGAATAGGTCATTTGGATAGATCATGTCATGAGAGGCTACAAGATATTGAAAACAATAGCCTAGCAGAAGGCCAATATGGGAAATGGATCAAAGCAAATGACTTACCAGGTGGGGGGAGGAGCAGTTTCTCTGGGAGCTCAGGAGCAAGAACTAGTGGGCCACAACAGAACTCAAAATTTGGGTCCAATGTGGAGGCTAGCACTCAACCAAATATGCAAAGGACACAAATGGAGATTGAGGAAGGAAGAGGAGGGGTGATACAAAAGATAGTGGAGGAGGAGAAGGAGGTAGAACAAGCAAAGGGTGGTGAAGAGATGCAGTTGTGCCTTGCTATTATTGAAGAGGAGCCTACACAAGAAGATCAAACCAGTGTGGTCAGGGTGAGTTCTACAAGAAATGCTTTGGTTTTAAAGGAAGCAGAATCTACTCAAAGAAAGGACCAAGGTGATATCCAATTGAGTAGTGATCAGAGGGAAGCTAAGACCACTAAGGGAGCTACTTGGAAGAGAAAGATTGCTACTTCAGGCAGGTTGAAGAGGCAATGTGAGGCAGAGAAAGCCACTGATGATACTAAATTACAAAAGAGAATTAGAGAAGTCAGTGGGAAGGGGAAGGAGATCATGGTGGACCCTAGTGAAGTGTCTAAAAGCAAAAAACCAAAAGTGGAAAAATGTCAGGGAAATTCAGAGGTGGAGAAGGCCAGCCTTGAATGGCCCCAAGGTGACCAATGAGGGCTATGGTGTGGAACTGTAGAGGGCTGGGTGGGCCCTGTACAGTTTCCCAAATCAAGGATTCAAGGAGAATCCACCACCCTAATATTATATTTCTATCTGAAACTAAGAAATCTGCTAAGTTTACAAGGACTGTTTGTAGGAAGTTGGGCTTTGAGAATAGATGGTATCTAGTGGAGCCTGCAGGGACAAGAGGTGGGTTATTGGTAATGTGGGATGTGAACACTGAAGTGAGAACGGTGATAGGTAATGAGTTTTGCTGTCAAGTAGAAATGAAGGAGACTGGTTCAACTGGGTGGATTTGGGTAATTTTTGTCTACCTAAGTACTGATAGAGGCAGTAGAATGAATCAGTGGGAGTTTTTAGAGGAGAAACAGTCATCATGGGGGGATATATGGGCCATGGCTGGGGATTGGAATGACATAGTTAGCAATGAGGAGAAGAGAGGGGGAAGAAGAAGATCAGAAGCTAGCTTTATGGGGTTCAGGGAGTTTATCATGAGAATGGGGATGCAAGAGGTTGAGCAGAAAGGGGCTTTCTTCACATGGGGAAATAATAGAGATGCTGAGGGTTATGTTGAGGAAAGGTTGGACAAAGTGTTTACTTCGCTGGAATGGGATAGTAGGTTCCCACAGATGGAAGTATCAAATTTCTACAGATGTGCATCAGATCATAATGTGTTACTATTGAATACTGATAAGGGAGTAGTCTTTAATAAAAAAAGGTTCTTATTTGACAGTAGCTGGACTAAGATGGAGGGCATAAGCCAGGCTGTGGAAAGAGGATGGTCTACTCAGATGGATGGAACACCTATGTACCAGGTACATCAGAAGGTGAAGGCAACAAGAATGGCTCTGATGGAGTGGAGGAAACCGCTGAGCAGAAATTCTGAGGAAGCAATTCGAAAACTGACTGTGAAGATTGAGGAGATGAGAGGGGAGGGGGGAAATCGAAACTGGGAGGATTGGGAGATCACCAAAGCTGACCTAGATAAAGCTTTCAGAGAGGAGGAGAATTTCTGGAGGATGAAATCGAGAGCAATGTGGATGAATGCTGGGGACTGTAACTCAAAGTTTTTCCATGCTACTGTGGCCCAGAGAAGAAGGAGAAATTCTATAAATTTTCTTATTAATCAAGCAGGGGAAAGGTGTGAGGGTGAGGGGGCTTTGGTTACTCATATCACAGACTTTTACTCTAATCTCTTTCAATCTGAGGGTTCTCAGGAGGGGAATTACTGCCTGCAATATATCACCCACTCCATTTCTGTTGATATGAACTCTATGCTAATCAGGCCTATTGAGGATGATGAGATTAAGGGAGTGGTTTTCAGCTTACCTCCTGACAAAGCACCGGGTGAAGATGGTATGAATGCATCTTTCTTTCAACATTTTTGGCACCTGATTTCTAAAGATGTGTGTAATGCCATTAAATCTTTTTTCTCATCTGGGGTGTTACTGAAAAATTGGAACCATACAATTGTGACTTTGATTCCTAAATGTCTGTATCCAGAGTGTTTATCTAATTATAGACCTATCAGTTTGTGTGGCACTCTGTACAAAATCATTGCTAAGTTACTGGCTAACAGATTGAAGGTGTGTCTCAATGAGTGTATTAGTCCTGAACAAAATGCTTTTATTCCTGGGAGATTACTCTTAGATAATGTGATAATTGCTCATGAAGTGTTTCATTTTCTGAACCGGCATAGATCTGGCCCTAATATGTTTCTTGCTCTGAAATTGGATATGGAGAAAGCATATGATAGAGTGGAATGGGACAGTATCAGAAGAATTATGTTGAAAATGGGGTTCAATGGGTTGTTTATCAAGTGGATTTTTGCTTGTTTATCTTCATCCTCCTTCTCTTTTAATGTGAATGGAAATATCTGTGGGTTTGTTACACCAACCAGAGGGATTAGACAAGGGGATCCTCTCTCCCCCTATCTATTCCTGTTGGTCTCTGAGGTTTTTTCAGCTCTCATTAATAAGAAAGTTAGAGATGGGGTGTTCAGAGGGGTTAAAGTGTCTAAGCATGGGCCTATGATAACACACCTTTTATTTGCTGATGATGCTTTGGTTTTTTGTAAAGCTGATGTGTGGCATGTTCAATCTATTATGGAGATATTGCAGAAATATAAGAGTTTTACAGGGCAAAAAGTAAATCTGCAAAAATCTTCATTGTTTTTGAGCAAAAATTGCACTGATTTGGTAAAAGCAAGTTTGTGTTCTATTCTCAGAGGGGTTGTGGTTAAGAGATCATCTAAGTACCTAGGGCTGCCGTTGGGGATAGCTGCTTCTAAGAGGGATACTTTTCAGTTTGTTATTGATGCTGTGACTAACAGACTTGGGAGTTGGACTAATAAATTTTTATCTGTGGCTGGCAGAGAAGTATTGATCAAGGCTGTCTTAAGTGCCCTTCCAATTTTTGTCATGTCATGTTTTGTGTTACCAGGTGGGGTATGCAGAGAGATTAGCAAGCTGATAGCTAAGTTCTGGTGGAGCAAAGGGGATGTACAAAACCCGGGTATGCACTGGAAGGCTTGGGATAAATTGTCTGTACCAAAAGAGGCTGGAGGGCTTGGTTTTCAAGACATCTTTATTATGAACAAGGCACTCATTCTGAAGCAGATTTGGAGAATTTGTTCTCAAAAAAAGCTACTGGTGAGTCAAGTGCTTAAACATAAGTATTTTCATTCCACTTCTATTTTTGAGGCAAAAACAGCTCAGGGAGCCTCTTGGTTATGGAATACTTGGGCTAGATTTATACCTTTGTTGCAGAAGAATGTTAAGGTGATAATCAGGAATGGCACCAATACAAGCATTGATGACTACAATTGGGTTCCTGGGTTAAATGGAGGTAGGCCTGCTCTGAAGGTAAATATTGATTCCTCTCTGTTTACAGTGAATGATCTTATGTGCAATAGTGGTCTTTGCTGGGATGAGAACCTTGTTAGAATTCTATTTCGTGATAGTGATGCTTCTGAAATACTGAATATAAGAGGACTGAATCCAAGGGGAGAGGACTTATGGTTGTGTCATTTTTCTGTGAAAGGGAACTTCTCAGTTCATGCTGCCTATCATTCTATGATTAATGAGAAGATTTGTGTGGTATCTGAACCAGAATGTAGCAATATGGCTGTGGGCAACTGTAGAGCTAGAAGTAGGTGTTGGAAATTGAAAGTTCTACCTAAGGTCAAACACTTTATATGGAGATGTTTTAATAACATATTACCTGTTAAAGGGAACTTGCAGAGAAGGGGCCTGGACATCAATTCAATGTGCACACTGTGTGGAGAAGGGGTTGAAACTCAGGAGCATTTGTTGTTCCAATGTTATAGAGCTAAACTGGTGTGGAGGTTAGCACAGGTGAGTTGGAGTAAACTGCCAGAAGAAAACTTCCCATTCAAAAATTGGTGGTGGTGGCTGAGCTCCCTAAATGCAGATGAGGTGTCTGAAGATCGAATACAATTGACCACATACATTTTATGGTGGTTATGGAGGGCGCGAAATCTCTGGATCTTTGAGCAAACTTGGCAAACAGAGAGGGAGATTCTTAAAGCAGCAGCTAGAGATTGGTTGGACTTTAAAGGGGAGGCAATGGCAAATTGAGCAGCAGTGATGAGAGGTACCTAGGTCTAGTGTCAGTTGGTGTTGTCTTATTATTTTTGTTCTTTTCAGTTATGCTGTTTCCCTGTGTATTGAGTTTGGTAGGTTTGTAACAGGGTGTAGTACTGATCTGATATGGTCATCCATCTCTGTTTGTGGGTTTAGCTGTGTTGTTCTTAGTATGGATTATGTAGGTTGTCCGGTTATAGGCATCACTTGTTTTGTGTATGTCCTCTCAGTTGTATAACTCGGCTTTTGGCTGCTTTGTACTTATTATTCTTATGGAATGAGATATAGTTTCTGTCGTTTGAAAAAAAAAAAANTCGTTTGAAAAAAAAAAAAAAAAATACTAGCCGATAAATCACATAATCAGGCTGGTCATGTTTCCGAATGATTTAGGCTCTGGAATTTTAACATAAAGTCCACCTCAATGGACTTAGTAAAACCACCAAATTTCAGCTCTTAACTCAAAACACATGATTTTATAAAATTCGAACAAGTTTTTGGCAAAAACGAGCACAACTTCAAAGACTGACATAATGAACGATTTAACCTTTGAAAAATTTACGCAAGTAACCTCAGCATGTCTATATCAACATATAAAAATTTAAGCTTTAAACATTAAAAATGAGAATTATGAAAATTGTAACAAGATTCTGTAGAAATCGAATTTTCAACAAAACTGAACCAAAATGAACTCCAACAGTTTTGGAAATTTTTACACACACATAACATCATTAAATAAGCACTTCAACCAAAACTCAGAAATTTACAGCAATAGATCAAATTATCATAATTAAACCAAGGTTCTGCAGAATACTTCAAACAATTTTTAATCCTGGCAAACGAAGTCTAAACATCTTGAAATTTTTACACAACACGCAAATATGACAGAGAGACAACATACTAAAACTTCAGCCAATTTGGAGCACAAATCGATTTAATATGCAATTTACAATATTCTTTCCCGAAATCAAAACAATTAATTAAAATAGCTACAGTTGGTATTTAAATCTGAAATTTTATACGACATGTATAACCATAAGAGGACCAAACACACAAAATTTCACACCAATCGGAGCAGCATGAGATTTATCGTGAATTTAACACAAATACGACAACTATTCAAGTTCAATAAATCATAAACGACTCGAAATACAATCGAAATCGTCCGAGGCCTTCACCACAAGGCCAAGGACTCCAATTTGTTTCAATTCACAGCACTTAACACGATTTCAATGTGATCTCGTTTGATTCATACGAATCGACAAAGATCACACATAAACACATTATTTAAACAATAACATGAAATCACATTAAAGCTTCAACACGATTACATAACACGTAAATAATTGGCGAGGGATCAAGGCTCGATACTATTCTCAGGAGACGTGCGAGAAAGGATCGAACGTGTTGACGAGGCGATGAAGATGACTCGCGGTGGATACTAGGCGGCGACACGCTCAACTCGCGGCGGAGATGACGGCTAGAGGAGGAGCGGCGACGACTTGCTGCTAGGGGGGTGCACGCGTGGTCGCGATAACGGGGCCTGCCGTGGATAGGAGTCCACCGGAACTGATCGCCGGGGGAGGAGGCGCGCCGGTTATAGGTCGCGGTGACGCCTCGCGGAGGAAGAAAGCGACGTGGCAGAGCGGGGCCTGCGCACGGTGGTGGGTCACCGAAAGGGATTCGCCAGGTCTGCTCGTGGAAAGGAGGGCTCGCGGAGTGGTCTGATCGCCGGTGGAAGGAGACTCGCTTGAGACGATAGGATTGCGGAGGAAGAGCTGCGCGTCGGAGGAGGAGAACAGTGCACGGGGCGGCGATCAGTTTTCTTGCAAGGGGAAGGGCGACGGGATTTATGGCGAGAGAGAGATAAAATTTTATTGCTGTGAGGGACGAGAGGAGACGACGAGATTTATCCTATCTTCTCTATTGAAATCGCGAACGAGAGATGAAGGATGATGAGCGACGGGTCTGTGTTTGGGGCTACTGCTTCTGCACGATCGGGAGGTGAGGGCAGATTTTTGAGAGGGAAGAAAAAAAAGATGAGGGTTGCACACGTTTAATCTAGGTTTTCCTTTATCTTGATTCTCAAGATGCACACACACATACACACAGTTAGAAGGAAAACCGGGTCAAGCTCGGCCGGTTCGGCTGGCTTGGCGTGCGGGTCTTCGGGCCGGTTTACGAATTGTCAGGTGAACTACTGGTTTATCGGCTTAATACTATTTAAATCCGATAATTATACATTGCTCGTAAATAATAAAATACCACGACCCAAAAATAAATTATGACATCCAGAATTATTTATAATCCAGTAATATATATATACATATATATTTCACATTAATATATATATATATATAAAGCAATTAATAACATCACTTTGGTAATTAAATAAAATAAATAAATATTTATGCCAATAAAATATCCGAAAAAATCTGATAAACGAATGGGGCATTACACATATGATGCGTAAGACCTAAGCAGGCATACGATACGTGGACCAACAGTAGTCTATTGAGATAGATGTGCACATGTGAACGAACTTGGGATAGGAGATTGGGAAAACTAATTGATTTGTATACATGTTGCGACCGTACTATTTTATATTATGGTTATTATTTTTTGCATAGTGGTGAGCACCACAGTTTCCATATGTGCTCACTCCCACCTGAAATTAACATTTCATGTTGAGCAGGGCAGGCATGACGGCGGAGTGGAGCGAGTGGTGGTTGGTCTTTATGACTTGATTAATTATTTGTTGCTTCCGCTATGATGAACTGATTTATGATTTTATGAATTTATGAACTCGAGAATATTACGATTTGAAATAATGTTGGGAAGATGCCCTATGAACACTGTGATGATTTCAAAAACCCGGTTTGAGGGATGGATGATTTTGGATGAACCATTTATGGGAGTTGAATTTTATGATTGATGAATTATGTTATGATTTGATGTTATGTCATGAAAAAGGATTTTGAAATAAATGAGTAACGCCACAAACATTTGAAATGAATTTTGAAAAATTTAAATTGATTTTTCTGAAAAGTCATGGATTTTCGTTTAAATCAAAGTGGGGCGTTACAAGATACCTGGGACTCCCTCTTGGGATAGGCAGATAAAAAATGGAAGCTTTCAAGTTTGTTCTGGATTTAGTAAAATCCAAAATCCAAAGTTGGAAATCAAAACTTCTCACACAAGCTGGCAAAGAAGTCCTTCTAAAGGCTATCATACAGTCAATATTTGTTTTCTCTATGTCATGGTTCAGCCTCCCTTCTACATTATGTACAAAAATCTCTAAGCTATGTGCACACTTTTGGTGGAGCAAAGGTGAAGACCAGAGCAGAGGCATACATTGGAAGAATTGGAGCTTTCTTTTTTTACCCAAACAAGATGGTGGCTTAGGGTTCATTGACATTAGAAACTTCAACATTGCTCTGATTTGTAAACAACTCTGGAGGATCATAACTCAGCCACACCTTCTAGTGAGCAGAATTCTGAAAGACAGGTACTATCCTGATTGTTCTATTTTTGATGCTGTGAAAACCCAAAATTGTTCTTGGTTATGGTAAAACTGGCTTGCAGTGCTCCCTGTCTTTGCTAAAGGATTTGCTGTTGAGATTAGAAATGGAGAGTCCACCAGATTAGAGGATGTGAACTGGGTGCCATCATTACTTACTCCAAAGCCAAATCTTCTTGAAATAGCCAGAAGACACATCATATGGGTCAAAGAGATACTGAATGAAACAGGGAAAGGCTGGAAGACTTGGCTTGTGAAACAACTGTACAATAACATAGATAGTGAGGCCATTCTCAAGATAAGTACTCTCAAACCTGGAAAGCAAGACAGACAGTATTGGAAATTTGACAGCAAATGTGTATTTTCAGTTTCAAGCACTTATTCTCATCTCTCAAAACAGAAGCTCATCTCCATGGACATACCTGGCAGCAGTTCTACTGCATGAAATACTTAGAATTCTGCTTTCTCTAAATGCTGGAAACTGAAAATAGTTGGAAAAGTGAAGCACTTCATCTGGAAGTGTATTACCGACTCTCTACTTGTCAAAACCAATCTGGAAAAATGGAGAATTAATGTTGATGATATCTGTCAGAACTGTGGGGAATTTCCTGAAACTGTAGAACATATGCTTTTCCATTGCCACAAAGCAGCAAGAGTTTGAGAGCTTTCCCCTGTCACTTGGGCAGGCTTACCCTCTATAACTCCTTTCAGGTATTGGTGGAACCAAATTTGCTCAATGGGATCTTCTGAAATGGCCGAAGCCAGAATCCAACTTACCACATATATGTTTTGGTGGCTTTGGAAGTCCCAGAATCTTTGGATATTCCAAGGTCAATCTATGCCAGCTCACCTAGTTGTCGAAGCAGCTCAAGAAGAATGGATGGAATTCTCTCAAATAATTCGTTAGATATTAGTAGATTTTCAGTTTATGCTTTCCAGATATCTTTTGTCTTTGGACTTGTAATTTCCTGTCTTTTATGTGCTCTCTCTCTCTAGGCCTTTGGCAGTGGAGGGGTTTAAGTCGAGATTAGTTTTTCTTTTTTCGGTTATGTGTGTTCTAGGCTGCTTTTAGCGTGTCTTCTCAGTTTTAATTTCGGGTATGGCTAGTTGTATTCGAACATTGTTCGCGTTTATTTGAGTTTTAATAAATTTTGTATTTATCTTTTTTGTTATAGCATTTTCATTAAAAATATTGTTACCATGATTAGTGTATTCTGTTTTTATCTTTTAAATACTGCCCCAACCAGAGCAAGACATGAACTGAACGACAGGAACATCGTCCATAATTTGAATAATCGGGTTTTGCTGGAGGCTTTCTCCTATAGAAATGGGATTTTGATATTGTTAGATTCTCTTACTCTCATTCTAGGACAGATTTGGTTATATTATTTGAAATAAATATGAAATGTAATCTTTAAAATTATATTTTTTATGTTTGAAAAAGAAATTTAGATTGAATTTATTATTTAACAATATTATATAAAACGAAAAATTGTCACGTAGTATAAAATGATGCTTTGTGGTTTAAAAGATAATATGAGTACAATAGAATATTATCCCCTTATCCCCTCCCCCTA